ATGCTGCTTTTCAGCGTTTGTCTGGCAACCACCATATTTTATTGTTGCAGTAAAAATAAAATTCCATGCTCTCATATAGAGGAATCTGCTAATAAAAACAAAGGAGAGAAAAGAAACCGCTGGATGTGTCTTCTTTGCAAAGCAGAGGGCATGAAAATTTTTCACAGAGCTCTACTGTCCTTCACAAGTGGTTATATAGCACAGGGTTCTAGGGTTTAACACAAGCCCCATTTTCACATTCTCTTTTTTTTCTCTCCTAGTTCTATTAGCTGGTTTAGTATGAGCTATTAGTTCTTCCTGCAGACTTCATCTCACATTGCAATTAAGGCACATGCCAATAAAGCCACGGGGTATGATGGAGGATTTTATGCAGTAGGAATGAGATATGCTCGTGGCGAGTGGTATGGGACAGCAGCAAACTCCGTTTCACAAGCGAGAGGGAGCTGTGAAAGAAGAGCAAGTGGTCTGGAAAGGGAGATCTTTGTAGATCTATGTAGGAAAACAGAGAGAAAGGACAAGAGGACATCAGGTAGTTGCTGTTGGAAAAGAGTCTGCAGCAAATTGTGAAGGGACCGGGTATTTGGTGCTGGGGTGGATAAGAAGAGGTGGTCAAAGCTGTATGCTGTGCTCTTCAGGGCGTCTCAAGTCTGGAGTCCTGCCAGTGCTTCTGCAATTCATGCTAGGGAAGCAACAGCAGTCTTTTTCCAAGGCAAGAAGATGAAAATAGCTGTGTACTTCTGGTCAGAAAATTCACTCCAGAAACACCCTTCGCTCATTTTGTCTGCGCCTTGTTTTTCTGTAGTACTGGTACTGTATTGGAACGTAGAAAGTTGTTAAGTTGCCTAGTGCTTGTGTTAGGACCAGTTCCTGCTCCAGCCCCCTCTGTGCTGTGCTGATATATTGTTGTCTTCTGTGCTCAACAGGTACCTCTGTCCCAAATTGCTTTCAGTGCTGCTCCTCCTCCTCAGATCCTGTACAATCCTGCCCAGCAGATCCTGACATACGCTGGGTTTTGTCCTTCTGCAGCGACTATTTCTACATATCCATCCTACCCGTTACCTCTTCAGGTACAGTACAAAGTGGCACCCTTCTTACTCCCTGAGAAAAGCATAAGCTGCCACTCAGTACAAACTCTGCAGTGGTAGATCTTTGCTCCTAGGGGTTTGAAATGAGGCAAGGAAGTTGGATCCCAACTCACAGACTCATCTCTAGGACAACTTAGTCTGGGCCTAGTTCTCAGGTCTGTTGTCAGATCTCAGGCTTTCTCTGGTTGTCCTTCGGACTCTCTCTGCTGACCAGGAATCCCAATCTGGGATTAGAGCTGCGCTACAGTATTCATAAAAATGAGCGCAGTTGGGCAAGAAAAAGCAGAGGCATGAGGGGAAGCCAAAGGAAGCATCTGATACACACAGGATCTGGCAGAATAGTTTATACCCCTTAGCCCACCTAACTTAATATGGAGATAAGTCCATTAGGACTCATCAGATGGGAAGGAAACAAGAAAGGGGAGGAAATAAGAGGTATGTGAAATCGGGTGTTATGGAAAGGATTGTGGCTGGATATTAGTGATAACTTCTCATCACACAGTTTTGGTTGCCCCAGCAAAGCTATCAGGTGGCAAGGTAAGCCAGAAAATAGGAAGTGTTTTTACACACCAGAGAAAGTTCAATTGCCACAGGGTGTTATGGAAGAGCATACAAGAGTGGTTAGGGAATTAGTCCATCAGTCGCAGGGATTCAGGTGTCACCACAAGTCCCCAGATGGCTGCCTGCCACAAGAACCAATGGGTGCTCATGAGAAAATGGAGCCCTTTTTCTTTCAGTCTTCTTATAGGCATCTGCTATGGGCCACCGCTGGGAGACAGGTAGAGAGCTGCTGTCGTAGTTGGTGGAGGTTGCTGAGCCTTACTGACTGGAGGCAGCTGGCCTGAAGGCAGGAGGGAAAGCTGCTGGAGGTGCAGCTTTCTTCCGCTGTGGGAAGGGATACAACATGAGCTGAGTCAACACTGCTTCGCCTCCTTCAGAAGGATGAAGTACAAGTTGTGCTCCAAGCCCACACTGCATCCAGCCCAGAGCTGGCCTGGAAAATCCAGGGAGTGGTGCTGAGGATGGTGTTTGGGTTTTTTTGCCCCAGAGTGAGATGAAGAATGTAGGGTGAGCTGGTAAATAACTGAATGTACTGAGACCCTGGAGCAATCATAGGAATTTCTAGATTTTTTTTTTAAAGCACAGTAGGACTGTTTTGTTCAGTCCAATGGCTTGTTATACTTTGGCTGTGTAGTGCCAGACTGGTGGGTACCACAAGTTTTGCAATACTTCTTAATTGAAAACACTGCATGTTGAGCATGAACTAGCTGTGGACCAGCTCCCCACAGCCTCCTGGGCTACATCTGTTCAGGGCCAATAAGCTACTGGGCACAGGTATTGGGACATGATGGTCATCCAGGCCAGTCAATTCCTAGCATGCTCCTGGTATGGGTTTGGCCCAGACCACCCAACAGTCTGCGAGCAACGCCAAGGAAGGGGTCAGGACATGGCAAGGGCAATGACCCATTCCTGATAGGCAGTGTGCATACACTCACACTGGTTTGGTGGTAAGAGTTCAGCTGTAGCGACGTGATATGTGCTGTGCCAGTTGGCTTCACAGCCAGAGAACAGTCCTTGGCATGTCTTATTTATTAACATAAATAGGTCCAGGCACTCTTGGAGACATGGCTTGAGAGGAAAAAAAGAGCACACTTGGAGATATTTTTTTGTTTGCTGTTAGCTGAAAAGCTGCGCTGTTCTGCAGAGTTCAGTTAGCACGTAGCCAAGAGCAGAGAGAGAAGGGGATAAAAACAGATGAAAGAAAGCAATTAAGCTGAAAAGATGCATGTAAGTGGTCATGAGGATCAGTTGTAACTGTTCAGTCCTGTGTCCACTGAGAAACAGAAATACATCATATTTACCCCAAATTCTTAACTGCATTCTAAAATAAACACAGTTCTTTTCCTAGATTCCACTTATTCTAAGAAGTGTGTTCATTTGTCTTCTCTCCCCTTCACAACATGCAGCGGCAGACATCATCAGCTGTCTCCAAGCCAGGAGAGGTTAGCGAGAAGCACTGGGCGCCAGTAGGACCTAGGAAAAAAATGGCAAGCCACTTTCCTGCACGTATGAGTTCATTATGTTGTAGTTTGGAGAGAATTAATTTCTGCATCAGTATAAGAGTTAAAAAAATAATAATAAACTTACTCAAAGCTACAAAAGAGTGAATGTTAGAAGCAGGTCTGATTAGGAACAGCCAGAAGCTTAACCGTCATCCACTTCCATTACTTGAGAGCTGTAGGCTGAATCCATGGTGCTGGAGCTAGGTCTTCATGACCCATCTCAGTGCTCCAAGCAGTGCCCAGCTGCTGGATTCAGGTCTTCAGAAGCCCTGCTCAGCTGGTCCTGGTCCTTAAGGCATCTACAAACCCTGGGTCTGGGATTCATCTGGCTAAACGCAGGGGCTGTTGGTATGTAGGGATCTAGTGCTGCCTGATAATGAGATCAGGTAGTCACCTGGCTCCTGCTGCCCCTCCAGGAGGGTCCAGGTCCTGTAGTCCCTGTGTCACATCTATGTGGATGTCTGGGGTAGCCCATGGCATCCCAAAAGGGCTGGACACTTACATGTGGGCAGCTGAATGGAGCTCTAGCTCTCCATAGTGTAGGAGACGCTGCCTGAGCTGGTCTACCCTTCAGAGTCCACAGAGGGAGCCACATGTGGATTCTCTCAGGCTAAAGATGTATGATGTGAGAGCTACGAATGCACCCTAAAGGCCTTTCCACTGACTACAGGTGGGATTCAGTTACTACCTGTCACTACGCTCTGCGCCTAGATAACTATGTTCTTGAGCCTTCAACTGAGATGTCAACATCTGAGGCTGAACCCTGTGATCTAGGGATGTAGTTCAGCTGCCTAAAGATATGGCATCTGAGGTGGCTTAATGTTCGTAAGAAATCCATATAGGGCTGGCTGATGTGGGCCAAGGCCTACATGAGACTCGCACATATTCCTGGCAGAGGATGCCCTTGGGCATCAAAAAAGGCATAATGTTTTTGCTACCATGTAGACCAAGACCCACATGAGGGCCCCAAGATGCACCTCTCTTCTCAGCATTCCCTTTGGCCCGCCATGTTTTGCTAAACACTGTTCCTAAGCCTCTGCACTTCACATTGCCCTACACCTGCTCCCAGCTGGGGCAGGGTCACACACGTGGTGGTTCAATACAACAAAAGGAGCAAGACCTTCTTCAGCTAAGAGTTAGGGGGGGAAAAAAGTGAATTGACCCAAGTCAATGAAGTAAAGCAGTTAGCAACCAACTACCAACTAATAGCTCTGGTTTGAACCCTCACCTCAACCAGAGGGAATCCACAGCCATAGTTGCATATCCCACCTTGGGTTGGTCTGGCACGCAACACGCCTAGGCTAAGCGCCGCCCCCACTTGTATGGACTGAAGCTCCATTAGCTCAAAGGCCTTGAGCCTGAGTTCACCTGTGCCTCCCACCATTGAGCAGATTTGTTCCAAGTCCTCTGCTGAATCCAGTATCTCACTGAATAACTGCTTGCCAGAGGGGCAAACAAAGCCTTTAAAAAACTCATAACCTGAGCTGGTGGTAAATGCTCCTCGGTTCACCTCATGCTTCCTTGTCTGCAGGCAGAAATAGGCCAAATGCAAAACAAAAAAACGGGTGGTAACAGGAACGCATTTTGACAAGGATGTAACCAGCATTTATTTTGTTTACCATAGCGTGTGCTAACAAAATCATTCATCCCTTACTGGTACAGTTTAGTCACAACTAGTCTTGGTAACAGGCCTGCCAGCTGGTCAGGTAAATGATTAGCTGTGCAGGGACTGGTGGTGATGACAGCAGTATGGGTTGTGCCAGTCATTCCTGCCAGAGGAGAAGTCATTACAGAAGCAAGTAATTCCAGGCAGACAGATGGAAACAGTGGCTACAGTTTGAGGGGGGAAGGAAGCAACAACTCCAAAATAAATAAAAAAACCCAAAACAAACCACCCCAATCCCCAACGACTATGTCTGGAGCTGATCTAGCTAGCAGGTCTGTCAGTGTATCTGCACTGCCTCCTGGAGAGTTAAAGGGCATAATCAACCTTCCTGTCAGGGTGTCCCCATTTCTCACTCTCTAAGTCACGCTGTGGTACAAAGGCAGGACAACATTCTCCTGGTCATGGGGGTCTTACCCAGGGCAGAAGCCCCTGCTGACCCAGAGCCCCACAGAGAGGCCAGGCACTGTGGCATGGGGTCTGCAAGCCCTGGGCAGCTCTGAGATGCCATTGTCCAAGTGCCAGCCCTGGTACTGGCCTTCTACATGGTGACTATTAATTTTTTTAGCAGCAGGAAGCAGCGTTTAGTTGCCCAGATTTTTCATTTCCCTTGAAAAAGATCCATGATTACTATTTTTTGATGTTTTGTTTTTTGAATTCCAAGCACTTTAGGCCTGAACATGAGGGGAGCTGAGCACAACTCTTCTGATGAAGCCCATGACTGGCATGTGCTGGCATGTGAGGGGAGGAGTGAAATCCTGACCCTCTTTAAATCAATAGCAAAACTTGGTTTAAAGTAGTGGTAGGATTTTATCCAGAGCATTCATCCCTACATGCATTCTTCTGTTTTAACAAACTCTGCTTGTTCCTGAACATGGGCTGCTTCCTAAGGTCTATCTATTTTTTGTGCCACTTTCAGCCAAAGCCTCATTATGGCTGAGACAGCCAAAGTGAAGCACCTATGGGGACACATACGCCTACCTGTAAAATTTTCTCTTAAGAGGAATCTGCATTTGGCACAGGAATAAAACCTTGCATTTATGCAAGTATTATAATTGAGATTAGTTACAGCTGAGATCATTTAAATTTCATAGCGATGCCTGGAAACGAGCAGCTACACGTAACCTCGTCAGCCAGTCAGGTGCAGCGCCTCACCCAGGATGCCAGAGCATCGTTTCCCGCAGAAATTCCTGTTCTGCTCTGTTGCCCCGCTGTAAGCGCAACGTCTATTAAAAATGACTTGGGCTGCAGATGGAATCTGACTTGTTTCACTAGACACCATCATTGCTATACTTAAGCAGGTGCTTTAAAACTAAAGTGAGTGGTGTGCTGCAATGCCTGAGAAATTTAATCGGGGGGCTTATTATATAACGCTTACACGGCCAACAACGCAGAGCTGCAAATGGGGTTGTAATCCTTTACTGAAGAAGGTATTTTTTATTGTCTGTATACAGCCTGCCAGCAATTTTCCAGGAACATCATCTACCGACATTTCTTTGTCAGAAGAAACGCAGCCTCCATCTCAGTCCAGCTCCAGCTACGGCCTTCCCCCCAATGCTCCGGCCCTCCACACACCGACTTACTTCTTGCCTGGAGAAAAGCCTCCACCGTATGCACCATAGAACAAAGAGTTTATTTTAGGTAGCTGCTAGGCTTTTATTTTGTTTTTAAGAAACCTCTGGAAACTGTGCTGTGCGGGCACTAGGCTTCCCAAGGGACCCGCCGCAGAGTGTGTTACGGCCACCCTGCTTTTACCCGCATCTCACTGGGAGCGGAGCAGAACCTGGAAAGGTCAGGGCAGGCACATCACCAGCGCGGTGACCAGTCACCACCAGTTTGCCTGCAGTCAAATGCAGTGTTGCTTTCTGGCTACCACAAGCATGAGGTATTTCCTTCTCGGTACACTGCAGCATGCATTTTCTTGAAGAGGAGAAATGAAGAAAACGCTCTGGATACGTGTTCTGCTTTCATAAACCAATATAGAAGGGTTCTAGCCTGTGCTGTCTGAGTGGGTAGTCAGGAGCTCTCCGAGTCAATCATTTTGGGTAAGAAGATATCAGGTGTGTGTTTGCTTGTAGTATTTATTTAATAACCCTTTTTGGTGAAAGTGTTGTACCAATAAAAGGAGTGTGGCAATTATTTTACAATAAAATTGACTGTGTATATTTATACTCTACCTAAGGCTGTGTATATTTGTAAGGACAGGAAAACAAAAGAACAGAGGAAAAAGTACCCTACCAAGTAGTTCTCTCTTTCAAGTTTCAAAAAGAAACGTTAATTTATTGGGACTATTTTATCCAAATTTTGTGCCGATCTAGTCTGTGTAGTAAAATGTCATGTCAGTGTGCTAAAGATGCAATTTCCAGACAGGTACTTAAGCTGCACTTTGTGCTGGAATTAATTCCTTTCTAGTCAAAAGAGGACCATAACAAAACCACTCTATGTTAAACCCGTTATTTATTTTTAAACTGATCAAGACCTGATCTAGGCATTTTACAATGACTGAAACTGAATGGATGTAAGGTCAGAAATCCTTCTTTTTTTAATACTTATTTTCTCCTATTGTATGGAGACAAAAATATGTTGACAAGGCTAAGCAGCGATACCTGTAGCAGTGCCATTGACAGGAACAAAGTCTGATCTCTGTTGTGTGCACCCTGCCTCTTAGCACACGGCTGCCGTATTTCGGGGCAGGATTGGCTACACCAGCATGAAAACCCATCAGCCTGCCGCATCCCTTCACGGCATTTTGTTCCTGGAGGAAGGGTGGTGGTGCTGCTTGCTCTATAGATTTTACAGTCTAGACAGCAATGAAGCTATAGAAATTTCCTGAAAAGCCAAAGAGCAAAGCAGGGAAAGGAAGGTATTTCTCATTAACATTTTAAGCAGCTGCTTCATATTACGAAAATATTAAAAAACCCTACATAAACAAAACCAGCCTACTTGACAGTTTCCTTTGAAAAGAAGTGACACCATCAGACCAGCTGAAAATAGAACAAAGAATGATCCGCCTTTTACATTATATTTTCCACCTTTCAAGAAATGTGTTAGTTTGTGTTGTACCTCTATGTATAAAAAGCAGATTCAGTACTAATACACATAAGATCAGAGGTTAATGTATATGGATGGTAAAAAACATGTTCAGTTCAATTAAGAAGGATTTTCTGAGATGCAAAGTTTTAGGCCAGTGATGTTAACATCAGTGACAAGGAGCCTTATGTGTATTGTTGACAAGGTGAGTTATACAAACCTTGTTAAGAGAAACAGCAGTCAGGGAGGAGACCATTGTTTTTCCTTTAAACATGAATTTAGCGCATCCAAAAAGCCTAGTTCTTGTGCAAATGCATGCTGTGAAGAGCACAGTGACCCTGATCATTAAATGAGTGGAACTACACATTTACTTCTTTTTACTTACTTTGAATACTGCCAGGGAGGCCACCAGGGTTCATTTTTGGGACTCAAAGCTCCCTTTGAGTTGAGCTCCTAAACTGCTAATGGAACAAAAATTAAATCAATATATCTCTTGGGTGGAAGCACAGTAACTGAGGAGGAATGAAGGAATGCTTATCACTTTTTCCTCTCTTTTCAATAGTATTTAGAAGCAGCTGCCTCTTCCTCCAGCATGGTACTGCTGTAGGGTATTAAAAACAATCCAGCTTGACACAGAAGACCCCCACTTTCTGTAATTCTCCAGACTTACAAACTCCAGCTTTCTCTTCTAAACCACATTTTGGGTTTGGGGGTGTTGTGGCCTATGCAAAATATCTTTGCATACATGTACACATATGCACAGTCCAGGAGAAATTTTTGTCTGAATTAGTTTGGTTTAGAAAATGGAATTACAGTCATTTTTTCATATAATATTAAGTCTGAAACTGCAGAGTACCACACTGTACCACAGGGTTCACATTTCCAGGATCCAAAATAATTCTGGCCTCATAAATAGCACCACTTACATTAACACAAAGGTCAGACATGTTTGTAATTCATTTATGCCGCATGGCAGTTTTTTGGGAACTACCATAGAAATTATACAAAAATGCCAGACATAAGACTATTTTGCTAGCATGCTTCCTTTGAAAAGAACAAAGTAAACCAGGGTTTGTTTCATCTATGTGGTTTAAAAAATAGTAGGTGTCTTCCAAGTTTGTACTGTATTAGAGGTACTCCAAGTTAAAAAGATGGGACATGTATTTTGGTGAAGGACTAGAATAACCATGAAAAACACACAGACAACAAAACACTGCAGTGTGGAAGTGCTATTAACCACAGTATCTTCTGGATTCCTGGCTCTCACTGGAGATACTAAACTAATGTTTCTTGGGTTCTCCATCATATCACAAGTTGATCCAGAGTCATCAGTTCTAACAGAAAGTACTCTCAGGAATGACATGTTTTCCCTTGCTCAATAAGAAAAGCAAAACCAGAACTACTTCTGAGTTTTCCTACCCATGCACACTCCGCCAATAAGTTTTTCCTGTCTAGTGAGCAACTATCCTTTCAAACTTGCATCTGGTCACACTTGAGTGCAAAGAGTCTTTTGACAGGTCCATCAGTAAGTGTAAAGAGTAGGCTGGTTGAAAGTGATAAAGCTCTGGTCTTTTCTACCCTACTGTATTACCGCTGACTGATTTGGTCATGATATACTGCTATGATGTCATGCTGTCTTAATGGCTAAGACAGTACCTTCCTCTTCTCTGCTAAATAAAGCAGGGATCCTTACCAGGAAATATGATTGGATAGTCTTCCCCCTCTTCCATCCTCTCCTGGATAGTCTTCCCCCTCTTCCATCCTTTCCTCTGTTATATCTCCATAGCTTGGTCACAGATGTCACACGTGTGGATTATTTGGCTAATCTGTCATGTCCATATTTGACTGGGCAAAACATGACGTAGAATGACCACAAACAATTCATAAAAGACCTTGTAGAATTAGACCTTTTCCACGTTAACCCTCTGAAGCATGGGGTAACCTTAGCTAGCCAGGATTCCACCACAGCATATACTTCTTTCTTAGTTCATTAATCTGATGCAGGACAAGGATGAAATAAAGCAAGATTTAAGTGCCTCAAGGCAGGCTTGGCAAAGCCTGCCCCAACTTTACAAAGATAGCTTAAAAGTTGAATGCCCTTTATGGCTCTACAGCCTCTCCCGAGTAAACCCCCGCGCATATTCTCACCACACTGCAATTCGGCCTGGCTAACTCTGAGAGTCTCAAGCCCCTCTGCTCCCACTAGGCTCACAGTGAATGAGCCAACCTAAAAATTAAGCAGCAAAAATATGTCATTGCCAGATAATATTCCCCAATTCTTGACACCTCATCATTTGCTTCAGTGGTTATTGACACAAAAGCCATATGGCTTTCAACTTACTGAGTCTTTTCTTCTAATTGTTTCCTGC